CCTTAGCAAAGCGCATCCCAGGCTGCATAGCCGCACTACCCTACCCAACCATACCACACATAAACATGACACTACCCCCGGGGTTTACACAGACGAGCCGGCGAAGCAAGAAGAGCGCCAGAAGAAAGGGCCCTAGCCGGCGGGGCCCAGCCAGGACAAAAGGAGGTCCCACAAAGCGCCTACACCGGCCGCATTTGCGGTCGGGGTAGACGACGGATGGGGCCCACCTACGAAGGCTGTCCAGGCCTACACGAGATGAGGCAGGATAAAGAGGGATAATCCCCCTCGATCCCAAATCATTGAGGCCAATTTCTAGCCATAGAATAATGGCGCGCGGTCGACTCTAGCGTGACCACAAAACATCAAAAGAACCGCCGATTCTGTCGCTTCTCGTTGGTATAGTGTTCTCTGGCAGAATCTTAGGATTTTACACTAAGTATCACACAACTTGCTTCATGTTTCTTGTTCCATTAGTTCCAGTTCCATGGAAAATTTGTTGAAACTCGTCCAATGAAAGTTTCTTTGCACTACAATTCTTACCTTTGGTTCAGAGCACTGAATGGTGGTACGTACCATCTTCAAAGTTGTACTTAAATGTCAACAACCTTTTGAAAGAAAATTAGAAAATTCTGGAAAGAAGGGCACTGTTGCCCAAAACTAGGAAATAGGACGACACTAGCATGAAGAAAAACGAAATTCGTGCAAGCAGAGTATAACCCTTTTCATGTTCAAAAGAAGTCATATCACTTATTGTGACTTTCTCCATCATAGAACTTATCCAACCTTGTTGCCTGTTATCCATAAGTCTCTATTAGAATACGGACTTTTATTTTTTATTACTATTTAAAGAAAATAACTTTATATCCTGTGCGCAGGCAGTATTTGATTCTGCGCATTTGGTTGCAAATATAAATTGTGCAAAGTTACACATAAGCACGACCCCACACGATCATATACCTACAGAATACAAAATATGTCTAGTATAAGAAACATAACCTCAACAATTTCGCCTTTAAGGGACGTAAAACTCAGGGTGTAGTCTCCATGGTAAAACCTTTCACGAAGGACTACATTACTGCTAATCTAATCTAATTATCTAATCAATTCACTCCACTTCAGTCAATTTGTAGGTTAGTGGTTAGAGCATATATTACATTACAGGAAGATCTGCGCATTAAAAATGTAGACGCTGGCGCTGTAGAGAGTAAGGGCGATGGTTTGGATACTCGCCCTCTCATTCTCTCAATCTAATCGTAAGCGGAGGGAGTTGCGTTCGTATCCGCGCGAGAGAGAAAAAAAATAGCTCTTTCTCTCTTCTACTCTGTCGCCGTAAACGTGCTTCCTCCGTGTAGTATATGCTCTAAGGCCAAATCTATTTTAAAATTTTGAAGAGGATATACTCGTATTATCAATTAATAAATCTTTATGCATCAAGTAAGGAATTTTAAAAACTGTTACAATTACATCAAATTTTATACAAAAAAATTCTAGATGTTTGATTTCACAACAATTTGTATTGTAAGTTGCATAATCACATTATATAAATTAACACAATTTAATGTCTAGTCGAGCCTAATACCCTTATTTAATATAATCTAGTTAAACAACCAATCTAAGTTAGAAAGGAAAATATTAGATGACGTCTCTCTCATAAAATCCCTGTTTCCCTTATTCCTGAAAACATAAATAAACATGACAGGAATTTTATACGAGAGTCGCCATCTCGTATTTTCATTCCTAGCTAGCTTTTGATTGGTTGCGAACTGTATATATGTATTACATGAACAAGGCTGATAAGTATCTGTCATTTTAAATTCACGATCTTATGCGACAAATGCGTAATTTTCCTTTTTTTTACTAGAGAAAAAGAGAAATTAGCTTACCTGTTCTTTATATGAATAATTTGTCATTCATTATTCAAAGCCTATTAATTATTACTAATTAATTTGACCGATTCCAGTTATATCCAAAGTTCTAATTATCTCGAAAACCATGCAATTTAGGTTTAGAAATAATATACTGTCATTTCGAAAAAAATTGCAGTGATTAAAAAAAATCGGTTTACAATTTCTATTTATAATAATGACACTTTTGCCCCCATATCAACACCACTGATTATTTTATTTTTTTCAGTAACATCACAAAATTATTTGCTGATTGAACTTGCACTACATCCGCAAGTTTCTAGTTTCATGTTCAGACATGTTTGAAAAAAATAATATCCCATATATTTTTTATTTTGACACCAGAGGCTTTATTAGACGTTTAGATTTAAAACAATCCAAAGAACACGCTCCCAAAGTTGTGACCTGGACTTAAAGAAAACAATAAAAGGACCTAGGTGTTAACATTTACAATAGGACTACCTACTAGCAGGTGTCTTCATAAATAAATTTCTGTCTGCCATCCTAATACCTATTGGGAAGTAGGATTAGGGATAAGCCCTTAAGTTATGTGCTACATAAATTCTGCGGCTAATATTAATCTAGATTTAATAATTATGAAATTAATTTGATTATACAGATTGAATAAAATAAAAGGGGGGGGGCAAGCAATGTCGAGTTGCTGATACCTGCTGCTCTCTGGCGGTAATAACGTCAACTAGATAATCGAAATGCACATGCTGAACAAAGACGTTAGACCGTAAGAGGGAGTGAGAAGGGGCATGAAGTAAAAATATGGCGGCGTAGAGACTAAAGTGGGGTTGGTGTAGAGCAAAATAACGTTAATTTTTCCATTTGTACGACTAAAATAATGATGAATTAACTTACATTCGGCAGTTTGTTGTTGAGTGAAGTGAAGTGCAATAATATTATGTAGTGTGTGAGTGTGGTTCGCGAAATCCACCCTTTCTGGTGTGGTGTAGTGCACGACAAAACGAATTGAATGACAATCTGGAATCACAAGGGTATGATTGCAAGCCATGGGTGCTCAGAATACTAAGGAAAGGACTGTATCAGCTGCGACACACTCGATAAGAACAACGAGAACCAGATCAAGGCCTGCAAAAGATGGACGGCAGCCTATCTCCAATATTTTTACAGAGCACAGTGGTATGAATCATTGATATTTTTTCTTTTTTAACACCCTAAGAAAGTGCACCTACTTGCCTGTAGCATATACAGTGCAAAGTCTTATTTCGTGCCTGTTTGAAATTGCATTATTTTTTTGTTGTCAGTCACCTGTTAAGTTTTGTGGGTAGTGCCAACATATCTTTCAAATGTGTGGTATAATAAATTCAATTATCAAGTTATATCTTGCTTTCCCTGCCTCTGTAATCATTTCCAATTGAATGAAGGTGTTGGTTTTCTGATGGAATAAAAGTATCGACTCCTTACTAACAGTTGTTAATTGTTCGCCGTGTTCACAAAGTACAAATCAACCGTCTTAAAACAAATGAAATATCGCCTGTTTTCGGAAAACGCGGAAACAAAAGCTGCCAGCCGGCTTTCTGTGACAGCTAGGGTTGGGAGGGGTTGTTAGGTTCAAAGGCCCAGCAAGTTCATTCAAGTCGTATCTTTATCCTTGAAATGAAATTGTCCCCCACTGAGTTTCCCCTAACGGCAGTCTGGTCTGGCGGTCTCATTTTCTGACAAATTTTCTCTTGCTGCACAGCAACTAGAAAAACTACATTTATCAGACACCTAGCTAGTCGCAGGTCGATGAGAAAGCTAAATCTTTATGAAAGGTAGACGTTCATTTTTCTGTGGTCAGAGAGAGACGGCATCGAGAGACACGGTGTTTAATTGATTTTTATTTGTGTTGGCTGATACATCTAATTTAATTTCTCTCTTCCACAATAATAGGGTTAAAGTAAATATTTATGGTTCTTAACAAATCGTAAAATAAAGAAATTAAGAACGGTCGGAAGTGGTATGATTAATTCATACATACAGTATAATATATTTCGTACTATAGCACTTCATCTATAAATACCATAAATTTAAATCTAAATTAAACTGTATATGTATTAAAGTAATATATATTTACATACCTACTTATCTAATTAAATAGATAAATGATTGGTAATAAATGGGCTTTTATTTTTTCATTGCAATTACCGATGATAGGATTTTTAGCAGGAATTAATTATTTAGGAATACCGAAGGAAGGTGTTATTAAAAAATACCTGCTTCGAATTGTCTGAACTAGAATCTAGATAAATCACAAATATTTTGCATAGATAGAGCTTGAATAATGTAACACTTTAACTTCTATAAGTCAAATTGTCCAAAAAAGAGGTATCTGTTATTAGAAACTTCTAATTTTGTACCATTATCGGTACGTAGGTAGAGTATAAGTAGGAATCAAAAGTTTATTTGAAATTATTTAAATACGCGATTTTTTTATTTAATTCGTTAAGAAATATCTGTAGTGATGCTAATGTAAATTTTTTTAGTTCTTTGTTTTGTAGATCTTTCTAAGTATTTGAAATTCATTTTTACTTATAATTAATGTTGTTAGCCACCGGTTGTTCATTATAAATTAATTGATCTCCCATAGAGATTATTCCGAATTATAAATATAAAGATTTCTTCGTCGTTATATATCTACCAACAATACATATATCTACACATAGTATACAAATACTCAGTTTTATACCAATGTTTGGTTGTTTTTAGAGGTGTATTCTCAGTGAAACTTTAATATTTGTTGTTTCTGAGAATGATATTATCTGATTCATTGTTACTGTTAATTTGCAATTATGAATATTCGTGGAGATCACGATTCGTACAAAACTAAAAAAAATTGGAATTTACGTTAATTTTTTTCTTCTTAGCACCTATTTCATATTAATATCAAGTATGGTGTGCATGGGGTACCTACAGTAAAAGTTGTCCGGTTGCACGAAATTGAGATGTTTGACCTTGAATTCAACTAATTTTTTGTACATAAATAGCAGTTGATAAATAGGTATTAATAATTTTAATTATAAGGTGCAGGAGTAGAAAGAAGGAATAAAAAATGTATTTTGTCCCAAACCCAGCAAACTGACCTTAAATTTAAATTGATTTTACAATTTCACAATTGGCGAATTAAACAAATTTGTAACCTAGTTGGAACTAGTGTACAAAATTTAGTTGAAATTGAACAATTCACAAAACTTAATTAGGTACCTACAAACCCATCTAAATATAAAAGTAATTTGCATGTAAAATCACTATAATAATATCCCCATTGTATCCTTAAAATGAACGTTAAACATACGTTTCATTTACAACTTGAATTGTGTACAGTGGTCCATAGAACTATAGCGTTTTTTGTAAAAAGAAAATGTAAAAATAACATCTCGTATAGATATTCGATCTTAGAATGGAAATACAACAAAATTAAATATGCTGTTATAGAGCGATATTATTACCTCGGTATAGTTCAATAAGCAATATTCCTAAAAAATTATTAGATATTGACATATCGTTTCCGTGCTCGAATTTCCCGATAAACATCTTCTGATGTGTTAAACTCGCTCTATTACGACTATCCTCATTATTAACGGTTGGTCACTAACATTCGTACAATTCCATTTTTAAAAACTAATGTGGAAATATGTTTTTCCCTCTTGCACGCATATGACACGAAAGAAACGCCTAATTTGAGCACTGACGCATCGACAGATGAAACTGTCTAACACTGGTCGACGCTCTTTTCGATTTACTGATGTGATTTATATGTACGAGACTTGCTGCTTATTATTTTGGAACTTTGGGTACAGTAAGTAGGTACGATTCATATTTAATTAAAGATATTTTTAATTTAATTTTTAATTAGTTAATTAAATTTTAACATGTAGGAGCTATTTTTAATCCATTCTCTGTTCGTTTTTAGATCTTTAGTGAATAGTGATCTCTATTGTATTAGTCACATTTAATTATTAGATAATCTCCGAAATGCTGTTACCTCACCTATTACTTAATTGAATTGGAGTAAAATTTGGTGTCAAGTCTAACGAAAAAAAAGTGTAACACGCAAGGGATAATCTATTTAAAGAAGGCAGATTTCAAAGTAGCACATTTGATGCCTCCTCTGTGATCATATCTCACCAACCACTGAGTATTGAACATGTGTTGAACCGTCAAACAGCTGTTAATTTGTCAGGCTTGCCTTCAGTATTGATTTCAAGAACGATTCTTACATTTTGTTTTTATTGTTCGATGCTTGCGAGGTCGGCAGAACAAAAAAGCGCACGAAATTATTATCTTTTGCAATACAGTATGTACAGAATATTCCTAAATTAAGTCGATATAGTCTAATATTCTATTAAGCAATGGTTTTGTGGAAAACAACTATTCCGCGCGCTAAATCCCCCGGCTAGCACTACCAATATCTAGTAAATAGCTAAGATCATTCACCGGGAGAGCTAGACTTGTTTCGAGCTTATTAGTTCTCGTGGGAATGCTACAGGTGAGACGACGCACAGATTTAGCTATCTACAGACACGTTCACAGCATCTACAAATTAGTAGGTTGCTTTGTGTCAGTAGGTACGTATGTCAGTAGACATAATACTTAAAGATATGACATGACATACTTTGTAGGTTATATCTCACCAACACTTAATATTTTATGTTAATAGTTTAACGTCGGGTTAAATTAGCGACAAAATATGTATCTACGTTGCCAGTGTCGACGTTTTTAAATTTATTTTAAACTCTTGCCTATAGAATCAGTGCAAGTGATTTGGAAAATGCACGGTGAAGTATCCTTCTTTGTCTGTTGGACGGCAAGCTTTCTCGATAATTTTCTAATGTTTTGAGCATGAAAGGATATCATTTGGGATGTATAAGTAATGTTGATGTTAATAAAATTATGTAGTCTTAATCTTAATGGTAATAAATAAAGTCATAGTCAACCACATTCCTGGCCTGTGGTTGTGGTCATAACAACAGCGTAATATGTAATCGGGTACTTAGTACATTTTAATCCCCATATTAATCATAATAGTTGCGACAGAGATAGACATTCTTCCACCCAAATCCATCTGACTTTTAATCATATTATCCTAAGTAAAATGTATTTAATCAAAATATAATAGACTATCAATCAATATACAGTTCTATCATTAACACTTTCAAAATAACTACATAATCTGAATCATAACACACAGACAAGGTGTCAGAAAAGTACTGTAATATTTCGAAGTCTGTTGGGCCCAGTCAAAATCAGAAGACAGGTATTTCTCTCCTAACTCAAATCTATTCCATCCAGATCCAGGCAAAACTTAATAATTAGTTTATAGTTTCTCAAATTTTCGTCAAACTTACATTTCATTAGCAGAGGCTTTTGCAGAGTTTTTTTTATTAATGAATACAATCCTGGGCAAAAAAGTTTCTTTTTCATAAGACGCTTAAAGAATGAGATGAATAAACCTCGTACTTTTCTTTTTTACTGGCATATTACGATATCCATATTGGAAATAAATAAAACTATGACAATTAATGGGGAATTCGAGGTTGAATGTTTGCGTCTGACGCGTCCTCTTTTAAAACCAACCACCCGGCACTTCTGGCATGTGCTGTGCGCCAAAATAACGTCAATTTTTCACGCTCTTTCTACCACATTGCTTTTCTGGGAACGGTTTGATTTTTGAACATTTCGATGTGTCCCCAAACAAATAAAACACGGATGCTTCGATTCGATACGATCACTTTGTCAATTTTCAAAGCCGACTTTCATGTTTTTTTCATGGTCGAAATTATTTAATTTTCTGTATCTAATTATTTATATTTTTTTAAGTACTTATTACAGCTTTGTTCAATTGTACTTTGAGCAAGATATAATAGTGGAAAAATATTTAAGTTTTTTTTATAAACTATTTAATTTTGAAACAATTTTACTAATTACATATATTTTAAATTGAACTAATAATAAATATTAATCTATTAGAAATATTAGTTCGAGGTTGATAAATATGTCTAATTAACTTTTTATAACGAACTTATTATTTTTTTATTGCGAGATCGTTATAAAAGCGAAATGATTCTCTTAGTTTTGATTGCGAGTGCCGATTTACTTACAAGCGAAAATTAATATATACTTTGTATATGTTACATGTAAATAAATATACATATTAATAACGTAACAGTACATCTTGCGAGATAATGTATTACTTTCATTTGTAAATAAATAAATAAACGTAGTATTGCAACATTACCTGTGTGTACCATTGTTTAAAAAAGAAAGTTATTCTTTGTTTCCAAGGAATTAAATTGATCACTCAAATGTAGAACAGTAAGAACAGAAATAGTCTGGGAAATTGGTGGCTTTTAAGTTTTCAGAAGTACGAAAAGTTCGACAAAATTTTTTTAACATTTTTTTTTGTTATAGGATTGAAATATACATATAGGATCTAGTCAAAATACTAGATATACATAAATAACAAACAAATTGAAATAATCTTCATTTGTATAATTTAAACTGAGATTTAAACGATCCCCAGGTATTTTTATTTAAATTTGCTGCAAAAACTATTCAGACCAATAATAATTAACAACTAACTTGACCAACGTCACGTTATTTCAGTTGTTTTTGGAGTGTTTCTGGTCATGCCCAATTTGACAGCAGGTCTGATATTAGAAAACTGTCCAAAAAATATAAAATTGCAAATATCTCTAAAAGTAGAACCCTAACAATGCTTATATGGCTTGAAAGGAAATTTCAATCTGCGTACGACAGAGCAAAAAAATATAGGGTGTTCCATTTAAATTAACAAAGTTATAACTGTTTGAAGTTATCAAAATGTATCGGCAAAAATGAAACATCCAGTATTAAATGTTTTAATTTGTTGGTAAACCATATTGTAGTGTTACCTATGCCCTTTACAGGTACCAAAAATCCGCTTTATATCACGCTAATGAAAAGAGTTACTAGCATCTCCGCGTACCCTTGTATCTGTCAAATTTTCTCTTTAAACATTAGTATATCAAAATCTATAACTACTAGGTATATGGAATATTTAATAAAGTGACCCTCAAATTTCTAGTCAAAATACTATAGTATTTGTAAAAGAGTGTCTTAAATTAGGTAGTATTTCGTATTTAATCGTAATTCAAAACATTCTATGTGTACCTATTTACCACGATTTTTTTTTCATTCCTAGTTCAATTTATCGACATGCTTTAAAATGATGTTTCATGGGTATAAGAGCCCTCTTTTTATCCGGTTCTTTGAAAGTTTTGAAAGGAAAGTTCAGAGGGCAGATTTTTATTCCTGATGGCCTACGCTGTGCTTTTGTAGGGTCGACAGCGACTTGACGAAGAGTTTGAACGTCCAGCTTGATCCTTTTTGCATTTCAACTGAATTGTACAAAAGCTCTCTCCCAAAACCTGCCTTTGGGGAAATGTAGCGAACGAAAAATCGACATGACCAACCTATTTTTTATATATGAATTATAACTAGGTACAAATAATAAGTATGTATTTATTTCACGTTAGCAGCGGAAAAAAGTTTTATTTTTTCGTTACAGTGATATTTTATTAAACTTAATGGAGTAGCTTTTTGTAAACAGGACGATAAAATTAACAAAGTTACATAGAATTTTGAATAACTGCGAAACCCCCAATGAATTTAAGAATAGGAAATGTTATTCAGTATTTATTTACACGATATGGTCTATTGGCATCCGTTATTGTGAATATAAGAAAAAATACTCGAAAAAATAAGTATTCAGTTTTCAAAAGGCCGTAAAATTGCATTTCTTTGTATTAAATATGACTTTATCATTACTTTAAGATCAATTTTCTGAAACATAGAGCTGAGAAGCATAAATAAACACATTCATATCGTAGCAAATTTAAATTTTCGCGAACCACTCCTCGTAATTTTCGTGGAAAAATTTCTATCGATAAACCAGTGATTTGGTCGCAGACAACAATGGCATTGAATGAGGATGAAAAGACACCACACGTTGATTTATCAGATGCCATGTTTGCTTCTTCCGTTGGTAAAACAGGTGGAAACAGCGATAATGTTTAGGCAGACAATGCTTTCGCACATACCGGAAGCATTATCTATTAAACCGCTAGGATCGTTCGTCAGCAGAGCCACCAGGCATATACCGGTTTCAAACTTATTAGTTATCGTCGATATGCAGTGATAATTAAGATAATATGACCTTTGTTATAGGTGATAACTCATTCGCAACCCATGATTCGGTTTTTGTTGCCATTGATCCAATGATCTTGTTAAAAAAATCTTCGTGGTAGTTGTTATCACTTATTTTGACGTAATAAATATAAGTGATCCAAAAACAGACAATTTTATTTCGGGATTTGAAACCTACGAAACAAATTTGTTTCCGAATTTCCTAATTTCCGGTAAATGCTTTTCTGAATGAGATATCGGATGCAATAAAATGGATGCTTTAACGTTTGCGGCATGCCCTACCACCCAGAGGGTTCCCGTAATAAAATGTTATGTAACACCAAACCAAACATCGACGTTGTTTATGTTTTTGTTCCTATAGGAAGATCCTATCGAGAGCATCCCGTTTTAAGTGCTCTTTTTACGGACAGATCGTAAATCACTATCGAATGAGCACAATTAAATCCGGCTGAATTCGATACGCATTTCACAAGCTGTGGAAAAACGCGGATGTTTCCATTGTGGTGAAAAATAATGTTAATAAATCATGACGAAAGAATATTTATCAATATCATTAACACCTGTGAGGACGCCACATATTATAAAAATTTAAAATTACACTTTTTTAAGCTTGTTTATTTTTTCATTAACGTATGCACACACCCATTTACTTAATCACTTGTTCAAAGTTAATGAGCTCGAAATTTGTTGTCAGTCGTAAAGCAATTAGAATTTGGTAAATTAAAAAACCGTTTAAATGTGAATTAACATCGTTGGAATCGAGGGAGATACCGCTGGAAAAGTTTGTATACAAAATACCCACTTTCATAATACTTAAGTAGGTATCGTCCAAATAATAGAGAGCGACATAGGTGGGGGAGGAAAGGGGATGACGTATGTGAGACGTAAATAAGTGTTTTAATACCCGAATATTGCTAATTTGGTTGCAGTGTTTTTTCATTGGTTTCGTCACTATGAATTCATTTATCACATTTTAAGTATCTATCAGTACACGGATGATAAAAGTTACAGTACAATTTATATTTCACATAGTAATCATTCCCTCATCAGGGTCCTTCACTGTGAAGTTTTCTTTTGTGTTTTTGCACTGTTGTTTATCATTTGACACTGTGCTTTGGTCTCTATTATCACTGTCTTTGTGGTTTTGTCTAAGTACTAAATTTTTATGAGGTTTCCTGAAAGTACCTGGTTTGGAAGCTATAAGAACTTGTTTGTTTAGAAACATGAAACTTAATAACCTGTTGAAACTCGTAGGGAAATAATATACCTAGTTTATTGTCACCCCGACCTTTTTTTGTTTTTTTTTTTTCAATTATTGTCTGGATATTTTTTATATTTGGTTCCATGATCTCTATTTTCCAAATCACGGACAAGACAAGAAGAATTTCAGCTTCAAGAGAGGTTGTAGCTTAGAAAATTTTGTATCCGACCACGGAACTTACGAGCCACACGCTGATAATAAAAAATCGGCAACTGTGGTCAGTAACCTCCGAAGTGATAAGTGAAAGTAAATAAATTCGACGACATGCAGGCTTGGTAATAATTTCGTTGTCTTCAGAAACTCTCAGATAAATGCCGTAAATAGCTGACCTTGTAGCTGTGTGGTGTTGTTGTGCAGCGTTTAGAGTTTTATTAATTGGTCGTATCGCGGTAGCGCTGTTATATCTCATTTCCGCTGTATTGAAAAAAATACAGTGGCCGAGCCGGAAAAATATTAATAACCGCCTGTTGCTCGGCCTGAAGGCGAGATTTGTTAAATAATTTAATAAGAATGGTGTGGCTTGCAGTACTTGCTGCCTGTACAAGTGATCATAAATCCCGTTTTTGAAACCGTTGTCCTCGAGGGAAAATGTTTTCAATTTTTTTTTATTGTCAAAAAATGACCTTGGAAATCGGTACTACGACCAACTTCGTTGCCTTATATCCAGGTAATCAAAAAACGTAGAATGATGCCTTGTTAACATCTAAGGTGCGTGTCTACCTTCAAATATAATGCGATCAGTTCCTACGCATTTAAAGAACCTGCTCGCGATCAGCTCGTGCGCACTTCGCGAACAAATCGCGAACAGTTACACATTGACATCTTCAAAATATATCATTTAAAGTTTCCTATTGCCAGTAAGTTTTTGCTAAATATTTCAGGCTTGTAATATAACGAAGTTAGTTACAGTTTAAGGTGCGTATCCATTGGCGTTCGCGAACAGCTCTCGATTATCCAATACTTGGCCATTTTTTTCAAATTAGAGGACGTAATCGATTTTAAAAGTTTTTGTCACACGTCAACTATCGATTTTGAACAACCGAAATCTCTTGCTTTTCCACGCGTCATTCTTTTTTGTTTTATTTTTATATTCAGTTAACAGACACAAATCTTCCTTTTCCCGATATTTTCCTGTAATCACCACAGCCTTTTCATCTGTCACGCTTTATATGGAACAAAATTGAACATTTCGAAACTGGTTTTAAATTGTTAAGACCATAGCTTACCATTACATGTCTGTAGCGATCACGTTCATTATTTAGGTATTTTGTTTCCATTTTAAATGACTAATTGAAGATCCAAATGTAAATTCTTAAATTTTGTGTTTTTTTTTTTGTAGAATTCAAAGTGCAAATCCGATCAGAACTCAAAAGAAATGGTAAGTAAATCAGTTTTCACAATGGGAAGTTTGGCAGTTCCATCTAAGGCTATTTCTGTTAAAAAACGCTTAAAACTCCCCACGTGTACAACTTTTGTTAACTTTTAAAATGTTGCAACAATCGAGTTATATATTTGTAGTCTTTTCAATGCCTGACCTATCTGTTTAATTTCAAAAAACAAAGTTAAAGTTGGTTCAGAATGCCTTAAGAATATTTACTACCCTTTAAACATTGTAGGATATACAGGCGTGGCGAGTTTTAAGTGACGGACCCTGTATACTAAACAAACAATTATATGATAATTATCAATTCAAATAAATAAATAAAAGTATTCAATATTGTTGCATATGGAGCAATACTATAGTACTCTGCTTTACAATTTTTTACTTACCACTGCTATCCATAGCAGTAGAGATCAATAATAATTTTTTCGCGGACAAAATTTCTGTTGCGTTTTCATTCAACAAATTGTTTTTGGAATTACACTTGCTTACTTGCATTTTTTTGTGCCGGTTTTGATGAAATTCAATTACAAAGTTGACATTGACAATATTGTCTCAGTTGCACTTTCTACTTTGACTTCTGCCGTTTTTATCAGAACACATATTTGTGTGTTATGTGAAAAATTTATACTTATAGCTAAAAAAACATCCACGCTAACTAAACTAAGTAGAAAAAATTCGTCCCGGCGTCGTTTCACATATACAAGGTGCGTTCGAAAATAAACAGGACATTTTAAAAACAAGAACAAAAAGTTCTTTTGGCAAAACTTTTGTACCGATGACACAAACATACTGTCACTTTGGGCGCAATAACTCCGCTTCTATTCGTCCAAATGTCATGAAATTTTGACAGTACATCAGTGAAAGGTCTACCTTTCCGCCGTATGTAATTCTCAATTGATGGCCCTATTAGAAATACCTACTTTTGAAAAGTTTTATATACCCATACCCAAGTACAATGGAAATATCGTCCAGATTGATTCAACACTTCATCGAGTCTCGCGTGGCTTCTTTTTTTAATGCGATCTAACGGTCCCTTTCCGTTCGAGATTGTGAAAATTCGATTAGTTGCCTAGTGCAGTATATATTTAATTCATTTGAAATGCTGATATTATGTAGTGTTAGCCATAAGTGGGTACGTTGGAATTAGATTAGTCCCATAACCACCTTCGTTCTACATATTAACAGATGATTTGAAATGATAATCTACTTTCACAGAAAATATTTCCAACCGTTAGATGTCGAGTCGGACAATAATAGAAACATACGGCGTTCGTTGTTCGATTAATATTCTGCAATATGTATATCTAATTAGTTTTTTACTAGTTGTCACATTTTATAATTTATGATGGAAATAAATGAAAGTTGTTTCGGCACTGTGACATGCTGACAGTGTAGATTTATTATTTTTTATAATTACCCTTTGTTTCCCAATATGGAAATAAAATCTACAGGGTGTCAGGGAAAATGTGGGAAATCTCTCGGGTACACATAGAACATGAAAAAAATTAGATGACAAGTTCCTATAAAAATTTTTCGTACAGGCCCTCTTAAAATAATGCCCTTGAGACTTTTTTCAATCATCATCATCAAAATCATGGCCCTTTCTATTAAAAATAAAACATGAATTCGTTTATTATTCCTTTTCTCGTAAACGGTTCATTTTATCGACAATAAACAAGAGTACCTTTTTTTTAGTCCAATGTTGAAGCTACCCAGATTTATTATTTTAAAGTCATTATCATACAGAGTGTTAAAAATTCAGGCATTAAGTTGTAAAGCTTAGCCCGTCTCTGGTAAACTAAAAAAGCTAAATATGTTTCTAGGACAATTTCTGTTTTTTTGATCTTGACTGGATTACATTTAATTTATGTAAAAAATGTTCTGTGTATATAAACAGTGTCTATACAGTACTACGTTTAGCTCTAATGAAGTTATACTAACCCGTTAGGTTTCATTTTATCTAATCTCCGCATATATATCGTAAAAATTGCTACGAAACTGACCCTAAAGGGTTGTTTTGTGACAGGCTGAAAACGGAAAATCGATCACAAAGGGGGTGTTTTACGAGGCGACGACTTTATTCAGTCTGGTGGATATACACACGCGTTACTGCTGGATACTTACTTTTTTCTGCCCGCCAATACAATACAGACAGTTTCATAGAAAATACACGCAAGATTAAAAACTGTAAAAGAACCCGAGGCTCCAATATCGGCCTTCGCTATCGCCTATAGATCTCTTTTGTGCAAGAGCTAATTATAAAACAGTTATTATTTCATAATCATTTTTAGTACTGTTAGAACAGATGGTCGCGTCCTGAAGAAATGGAAATATTGTAGTAAATAAAATATATTTAATAATATGTATAGTTTTCTTGGAATGCCGTGGACAGTGTTTGATCTAAATATAACCACTACAAGTCGTAATTGCGATGTCAAAAGTGTATCTATAAACATTTTAAGAGCTTGAAAACCAATAATTATGGTTTAGTAGTTAAGGTCTTGTTTGATTATATCGTTAGCTATTTTTTTTTACGCAGAGCTTACTAAGAATTAAATAACTTATCTCACAAGTTCTGGTTAATTTAATTGACGACTGTCTCATTATATTGTAAGAAATACAGAAACGAGCTATAGTAGCTGTATCTAACAATAATTTTTTTAATATCCAGTCAATTTTTCAACGTAAACAAATTATCTACCAGCGACGAAGTGTCGAAAATTATCTCCGGAATTGTATATCAACGGCGTGGTACATAGAATTTTATATCGTTTTAAATCGTGTTCACATTTATCATTTTGTCGTGTGCAATTTGTCGGGAAAGTATAGCGCAAATAGCTTGACGTGAATAAATGCCCAATTAGTGTAGCTATCAATTTTTTTATGTTTCTTGATTTTGTAACGAGATAAGTGTAATCAGTTCTTCAATTCAACACCAATTTACGCATAAATATTAAACTATATTAAATAGTTGTAGAGGGGCATTACAATTAGTTGTGCAAATGTAGAAATGTTAAAAAGTCTCCTCTAATTTCTAAATTCAGTTACAATTTGTGATTATAGTCTTTCCGAAGTCAGATAAACATGTAAAAAACGCCTAGCAATAGAATTTAACGACTTTCATAGGCGTCCCTAAAAAAGTTTTCTGCCAAAGGTAAAAAATTATAATAATAATTTGTTATAATGCGTAGAAAATTTCTATTATGTTTACTTGGCCAATAAAATATTTTAATAATTTATGTACTCAAACAATTTTATTATATTGATGGTAAATTTCGTTTTGTTCAGTTTCAAAAGGTCTCCAAAGTGCCATGTTGTAATAATATTATTTCTCCCTTTCACAATAATTGAAATATCATTGATTAATAGAAGGTGCCTATAATAAATTAAAATTACCTGAATCACACCAAATTCCACATTGCTGCACTGCACTGCTGGGCAATTTGTCAACCACTTGTCAGCTGAGATTTATTGTCCAGTGACCCAATGCAGCTGTGTTTGTATTTCGTTTGCTCGTGCCCGCATTCTTCAATTGGGCGTATACATTTCTACAACCTCTACGTTTAGTTCGACCAGACCTGTATATAGGTATGGCAACAATTTTTTCAAATATTTCAACCTTTCGGTTCTTCAATTGATATCGGAAAGACTACTAAAACTAGATTATTAAAAAGTTTACAACTATAAAAAGTATCAGGTTGGTCACCCATACGTTGAAAAATAATAAGTTTTTTGCTTCTTGCCTATCTTTCAGAAAAATTAAAAATTTCTACGCCAATGATTTTTTTAAATTAGGTTTTACGCAATTATATTGTGTATTATGTTGTATAGCTTTGGAAATCAAATGGCATTATTTGTTTATTGGTTATAATTAGTTTGTCACTTCGGTGCAAAAATAAAGCGTAAAAGTAGGAGGCTCTGGAACGTTCGTATCGTCGCTCGATGATTTTAATGCTTGCAAGAAATAAAAAACAATTTTGTAGATGGTTGCAACCGATTGTAATGACTACAATTGTTTGAAATTTCGCATTTTTTTTGTAATTTTTGTAATTACCTGTAATTTTTCGCAGTTGTAGTTTTGTGTACACATTTTTCAGTGGCGTACCGGTTTTCATGTAACGAATGGTTTTATACCTATAAACATGGTTCCAAATGCCCTATAGAATATCATATTGAGTTTTCGATATTGTAAACAATAAATGTGATTCGACCTATTGATTATGTCCATCGAAGTTTAAAATAACTCGGCGGTAATTTCTCGGAAAACCATGATGCATTCGCAATACGGTTCCCCGCGCGATTCATAAAGCATACCGCAAAATTGCGTCTGGCAATCCTGACCCCAGACACGAATTACTCGACTGTACACCCTTCCCGGGGGCTTAAAAATGCCGTACCCGGAGGGTTAACGTGACAGGCAGCCAGAAGCCAGAAACCAGACGTCCTGAGCAGGAAAGTAAACAGATCCCGGTGTACTTTAGGCGCTAGGAATTGCAAACGTGGCATCTGGCCCTTCTAAATAATATATGTCTCTTTGGAAAAATCGACAAACCACCCCTGGTCTTGTGTTAGTTTGGCGGCAGAGACGGTGCCGTGTTACGGAAATGAATTGCATGGGTGTACCATACGAAAAGGTGAAGCGAAACAGTTGATTTCCCCAGTTGTCTTGAAATTTACTATTGGTTTCAAAATCAAAGTGCAGCAGATCCCAACTTTATTAACGAAGTACTATGGATGGATGAGAGAGTGTTTTTTAGCCGTACTGTCATTTTAAATAGATAGGTACCTTATTATTCCTTGAAAAGCAATAAGGCACACAATAAGGTACCTATACGTACTACAAACTGAATAATTAACATGGTACTAAAAACTCATTCAAGCTCATCCATAGTCAAAACTGTTTATTCGTTGTTGTTGACTACTGATTAAAAACGTATTAAAAGCTAGGTTAATGACCGACTATTACAGTAGGTCAGGATTAAGATTCACTCTCG